TGTACCTAAAGTATACTTGCAATAGTTCCACTTTAGCACAATCAAATATACTTCAGTATATCTTTAGTTGGACTTCAGCACTACTTCCACTCAATTAAAGTGCGTTAAGTACAAAATTAGTTGTTCCAATTTAGCAGATTTTAAGTATATCAGTTTAGTACACCAAAAGTACAATTGCAGGGTATTTAAGTACATAAATATATAAATGTTTTTTATGGTATACTTAGCATGAAATAAATGTATTTCAAATCCATTTTAGTTTATTAATTTTTTTACTAGGGTTATATCGCCCTACTTGTATATCCAACTTCATATGAAAAGCTGGGTGATAATATATTCCAGTGGCGGGCCGTGCATTTTACACCTAGGCCTTCAGTGGCGTCCTACATGAATTAATCCATCTCTTCATACCATCATAATGGTGCCACGGCTATAGAAACCATACATATTACACAGTAACGCAGTATAACAGGGCACTACATAACAGACAGGTATCTTATGTAGCAAGAATGAATGCCATTACTAAAGAAAGAAACCCAATTAACAATTGCGCAACACATCATCTGTAGCTGAAGCATTAACCTATACCAAAACGACACAAATACAGTCCATCCGATGTTCTTACAGACATTTATTCACCCAAACACATTTATACCTTACAGATAGCATTGGTATAAAACAAATAAGGTGATTACATGTGTTTTAAAGTTGAGCTAACAATTTAATGTTCTCTTACTGCTTTATTTCGTCTTCACGAGTCTCCCCGCCGGTCTGTCAGCGCGAGTGTTGCCAACTCGAAATCTGGTTGGTTAAAGCAACGGTTTCATTGCCATTGATTTAAGCTAACAGACGCCTGCACTGTTGATTCTGAAGGCCTTAAGGCAGATTTCTTTGACCCTGGCAACACGATTGCTGAAATATGATTGGATAAAAGCTCTAATATAAACATACAATGCTGGAAGCAGTGCAACCAAGAGAAAAGCTATGAAATGAAGAGAATAGACTATTGGAAATAATTTAATACGCATTCATGGAAAAATATATTAAAACTAAATCAGTGATTCTAATAGTGTTTAGGCCAGCAGAGAAGGCTTTGCTGGCCCTGACGGCCCACCACTGATATATTCACATTTTGCGGTGAAATAATAAAAAAAAACAGGCAATTGAGATTTGCTAAGATTTCATAAACATGTCTTGAACACTGAGGGGGAGCACAAATTAAGATATTTTTGATGAAATCTGAGAGCTTTCTGACCCTGCATAGACAGCAATGCAACTACCACATTCAAGGCACAGTAAGGACATCGTTAAAATAGTCCATGTGACATCAGTGGTTCAACCTTAATTTTATGAAGCTACGAGAATACAACAAAAATAACGACTTTATTCAACAGTTTCTTCTCTTCCGTGTCAGTCTTCGATGCGCGTTCACAAGAGTACCACAACGCATGCTTGTGATGCTGCTGACGCAGGAGCCGGCGTTCTGACGGAGAACGTCCATCTCTCTTAGTTCATCATCTGTATATTCTGGTTCAGATAAGTAATGCTGGGCAAAAACTTGAAAGTCATCCTCTCTGTCGAAATCTTCAGACATGTTTCCGAAGACTGTTTTATGTACAGCGTGCGTCTTCCTCTGCTTGTAAACAAGGTGCAGCGCATCCGGGTCCTACGGCAGAACATCAGAACGCGTGCGTCGTGGAACTCTCGTGAACACGCGGCGAAGTCTGTCACGGGAGAGAAGAAATTGTTGAATAAAGTCGTTATTTTTGTTTTCTTTGCGCACAAAAATCTTCATAACATTACGGTTGATCCATTGATGTCACATGGACTATTTTAGCAATGTCCTTACTACCTTTCTGGCCCTTGAACATGCAGTTGCTGTATATGGAGGGTCAGAAAGCTCTCAGATTTCATCAAAAATATCTTAATTTGTGTTCTGAATATGAACGAAGGTCTTATGGGATTGGAACGACATGCAGAACTATCTCTTTAACACACTGGAATTTGCGCTGTGCTTCTGTCAACGGTGAACCCTGCCTACTTTGATTTGATTGGCCATCTCAATCGACCAATCATTTATGTTTCTCTTTTTCTACCAGACGTGGATCCGCTGATCATGCTACTGGTCCTTTTCATCGGACTGATCCTCTGCCTGCTGTCTATGACTGTGATTCTGTCCCACCACAAGTCAGTTTTCACGAGCACACGCACCTTTACTAGCTATCTAAATGAGGACAAATGTATATATATACTATTATGGGGGACACTTTTGTCCTTTAATCATAGTTCAATAAAGGCTGATTAAGGTTTGTTGTGCATGTATGGATGGACAGAGAAACATGTAGGCTACTGAAACAATTTCACGTGATGTAACTGTGGAATATTTATATTTCAAGAATTAAATTATAAAAAAAAGTAACAGTTTCTGTGCACTTTACAGATTTCTTCTTAAGAAACTCTGGCCTGACATCCCGTCACCAGAGCACAAGTTTCCAGGCCTTTTTACCATCTACAAAGGAGATTTTAAGGTAATTTATTCTTTTTTTTTTTTAAAGAATGTCAATATAGAGTTATTTTGAATTTCAGTAATATTTACAGTGAACAACATAGTTACTAGCCAATGTCAATAATATCAAAATAGCCAAATAATGGGGATTTTTAAGGTAATTAATTATTTTTTTTAAAAAGAATGTCAATATAGGTAGGCGCATTTATGTTTAATTTAACCAAAATGATGACTGTTGAATAAACAACATTTAAAAAAAAAGAATTAATACTTTTATTCAGCAAGGATGTATCGCTAATTTCAAAATAGCCAAAAAAATGGCTTATTAAATGTCCTGGTTGATATCAGTCTATAATAACATGAGCCAGGATCTGACCTCTTAAATACAACAGATTATTGTTTATTATTAAATTTTTAGTCAATGAAGGACAATATTTGACGTCAACAGCTGTGTGCATGGGTAGGAAAGCTGATTGGAACTGAAAAACCACTGATCATTACTAGCGCTAGATGTTTAGTAATTAACTGTGTTTCCTCTACCCTCAGGAGTGGATGAGCCAAAATAATGGCAGTATGTGGGGCAGATCAGTCCATGTGTACACAGAGGAGCTTCCTTCACCACTGGAGGTTTTGTCCGAGGTTTCCCTGACCAGCCACGGCACATCCCAGAGAGAGGAGAGGCAAGCTGTGGAGGAGGACAAGGAGAAGGAGAGCGAGCGTTCGGACTCGGGGTTAACGGACAGATGGCAAGAACCTCCTGAAGCTTACTGTCTCGTGGAGCAACTGAGGGCGCTTCAAGAAAACCCAGAATCTCTTTCCCAGTCATTGTTACTGCAGTCACATGACACCTACGTCACTCTCAATCAAAACTCCCAAGGAGATGACGAGCGACAGGTGGACGATGTCTTCGAGGAGACGTTACCGCTCCAGATGCTCTTCACCACCGCAGGAAGGATGTCCTTGAACACCTCGCACTCCGACCTCGGCTCCCTCCAGCAGAGCTCGGGTTCGGGCAGACTATCGTCCCAATCCAGCTTCGAGTATCCCAACCACACGTGGCCCCCCAAAGGGCCGGGATACGCCTACATGGCGGTCGCAGACTCGGGGGTCTCCATGGACTACAGCCCGATGAGCTCCAGCAGGATCGCGGCGCTCGGGAGACACAGGATGTACACAAATGATTACAAAAACGAGATTTTTCTCCACAAGTGGCCACTCTCCGGTCAACACACTCAATCCGGATCAGAGTCCTGCATGGGTCCCGGTTGGTAAACCTGCAATACCTAGGGATAGTCCACCCAAAAGTGATTATTCTGTCATCATTT